CATTAAAGGCTCTAAAATTAAAATATCGTTGATCGATAGATAGTATTGGTCGCCAAAATTATTTTGAAGAGGCAAAAGTCAAAACTAATTTTAAAATTAAAAAGTTGTATCATTAGTTTCAGCTTATGGCGAAATCTTTTTACTTTTGCACAGTTGCGAAACTCTATATCTTGGAAAACAACAATAATTGTAAAGTCTTGAGGTTGCTACCCCATTTAAAACATTAGAACCACTTGCAACACAACTGCAGTTAAGATGGAAGGCATAATTTAATTAATGTTATTATGATGTTTTAAACAATTTTCGTATTAAATAATTTTTTTTGTCGTCAAATTTTGCATCTCTTGGCTCGTTTCGTTACGAATTAGTGAATTTATGCTCGTGTCACCTACACAGCCAGCTACATATATCCCTACGAATTTGTGGGCCTATGCTCATGTCAAGTACCAGTCACCAAATATTGATACTAATTATGATGGTCAAAACGGATAATATTTTATTTAGGTTGCAGCGATATTAAAATCTTCCCTACTAAATAAAAAAAAATAAAATGTTATGAAAGAATAATTAATTAGAGTGAATAAGGACTATTCAAAAGGACCTCGAAAATCATGTAGATAGATATGTCACTTACTAACAAAAAAAAATTAATGTAATTGGCTGATTAGTGGAGATTTTTTCACAAGCACTGCGTTTTTAATAAGATCTTTTACTTTGAGATGTAACAGTAACCCATCTGTATAGTTCTTGAGGTCCTTGTAAAGATATTTGAGATCCATAGGAACGGGTGTTAATATGGAAATGATAAACCTTTAATAAATTTTATGATGTGTTGAAAATTTCTATTCTCTTAATCTTCAATAGCTTGAATTAATGAGAGGAGGGAGACCTTTAGAACACCAGAATTTGAAGCATCAAAAAAAGAAGAAATTCTTGAATACCATCTATCTTCTTAAAGTATGCTTCTTAACATCAAAACATTGAAACCTTTTTCTATATTCATGAGGTTGTTTCTTATTATTTTGATTTTTTGTAATGGAATAAAGTAAAGTAAATTGCATTGCCTCACGAGTATTAGTTATGCAACAATATAGTTTACTAGAAAAAGATAACGTGATCAATCTCTATACAAAATTAACGCGCGTGACAATTGATCGAGGTTCTTTACAGTATAGATTAGGCTTCTATATGCCCAGATGCAACTTTTGCATAGTCATTTATTTGTCCATTCTAAAATGTCAATCGAATCATATACAGAGGCGCAGTAACATTAACCTTTTGTCAATATGTTTTCGACTATCCATTCAAGCTACAGGAATCTGTTATTGGATTGTGATGATGATAATGGTGATTATAACCAAGAGTATGTGTTTGGTTATTACCTTGAAAAATAGCATACATACACTGGTAAATATTAATGTCGAGATTAAAAAAAATCGAGTCGATTAATTCAAATTTAGTAAATAAATCATGAAGAAGATTGATTGTTTCGTTTTTGATACTAATATAATACATAAATCAACATAATAGTAACATTGATAAGGAATTTTTTTAGTCACATTGGCAGTCTATAAACCGAACCGTTCCAATCCCTACTGATCAAACACTCCCATCATTAAAAAAACGCACCGACTGGCGGCTTACCATGGCAGTCTGGGCCGCAGCAGTTATATAATTTTATTTTTATAATAGATGAAATTTTTTAAAAAAACAAATTATTCATCAGATTTGATTTTTAAAAGTACCGGTTGAAGTTTGTCCGATCCCATTATATGTGAAGGGTACTTCTGAATTTCATCTACTTTTGTAGTAGCTCCAAGTATCTGTGAATTATTATATTAAGATGATTGATGATGAAAATGGAAGGCATAAGTGTAATGTCTTGTATTCGAATTGAATTATTATTGATGAAATATTATTATCAAAAATTTGAACAATTAAAGTAATGGTAAAAGTGCAGCATTATCAAAAGAAAATTTTTTTAACTCAATTTTGTTAATCTAATTTGAAAACCCGCTGTTAAACTGGAGTTTTGAATCGGGAAATGGTGGTGACAGCGGCAGTATTAATAACAGTAATAATATATATTTGTCTTTTATTTGAGGAAAAATTGTAAAAAAAAAAATTAATAAAGTATATTATTGATTCAATAAATCAAGTTAGGACCACGGGGCCAGTTGATACTGACCAATAGAAATTAAATATATACGTTTAAAGAAATGTAAACCATGGTTCAACCCAACTGATTAAAACGCGGTTAAACTGGTTTGATTTGAATTGATCAGGGATGTGGAGAGGAAGAAGTTATTAATGATACAAATACCACTACTACAGGGGTTAGAGGAGGGGAAAAATACGACATTGTAAAAGTTTACGTGACAATATTCAAGGTATCACCAAGCTGCTGGTGTTTTATAGGCTTTCCCTAAAAATGCAATCAGAGATGCGGTCACATATACAGAACATGCTAAACGCAACGCTATAACATATCTTGGAATTATTGGGTTTTAGAAGACAAGGAATGATGTATCATCTGTAGATTTTGTAGTTAATAACAATCTCGCTATTATTGACGCGTACATTAAATACGCTTGTAGTATTAGTAATTAAGAAATTGAGATTACCTGTGATAATGCTGTGTTTAATGATCATGAATGCACTTGATTAAACCAGGACATGCCAAATTCAAAATGTGATGAGACAACTGTTAACTGTTAATTGTTGTAGACGTTACGAAAAGATTTGTAGATGTTGATAAAGAAGACCCGAGTGAGGTCCCCTCATTACTTATTGATATTTATTTATTAAGTCATAAAAATCATAAATTATTTAAATATTCCTATTAATATATGATAATAAATAAGTTAAAATTACAAAAAAACCATAAACCTATTACCCATTAATTCTATAAACTATTATTATTATTATTATTATTATTATTATTATTATTACTATTATTATTATTATTAATACAAAAAAAAAGAGAAAGCCCCTATTATTATTAACAAATACTATAATTTAATTAAGCAACGATTAAATAAAGCATTGTTACAGCGATAACAGATAATGATGTAGCAACACTGTATAAATTATACACCGAGAGTTCCAGATCAAGATGTCCAGCTGAAGAAGGATTAGTTTCCTGAATTTCTTCTACTTTTGCAGAGGTAACTTTCTTGACCACCACGACAGTACTTGGTGGAATGTAAGTTGCATATGTTGTTAATTCTCCATCGGTCCCTTTTGAAGACGTAACAGTAGAGTACCCTGGGTGATATATTGTTGAAGTGGTGGTGTAGGTTGTGAATTGCGTTATGGTTGATTTTTTAGGGTTTGGAGCTAGTTGTGATTGGGACTTTGTAGGTGCTGCAGGTGTTGTTGATGGTTGTGTAATTATTTCATTCTCTTCTGTTGTGCTGACCACTGTTGGGCTATTTTTTTTTTTTTTTGCAATAAATTTAATTAATTTGTTGGAAAATAATGAATTTTTCTTTTAAAAACAAAAATCACTCACTCTGTTGTTTTACGTTCACATCTTGGATCATCAGCTTTTGTGCATGGTTCTCGTCCAGGTGGATATGACGTAGTAGTAGATTGAGAAACTAATTAATATAAACGTAAATATAAATATAAATATAAATATAAATATATTAATTGTGTAATTAATTGTATGAAAGGACTACCTGTTGATGATATAGAAGTAACACCAGTGTTAGGACTAGAACTAGGACCTGTAAAAAGAAAAATAATAAAATCATAAATAATATATTTTAACAAATTTATTCTCTTTTGAGCATATATATGTGTGTGTGTACCGGCATTTGTATCAGCATTAGTTCCAGTTGAGTTAGTAACAACTGAGCTATCGACAATTGGACTAACTGTATTAGTGGTAGTATCACTAGTAATACTAACAACTATATATTTATAATGTATATATTTATAGTTATAATTATATTTTTAATGAAATCTAAATCTATCTATCTCGAGATACAACTACCAATATACTCTGTTTATATATATGTGCTATTTCCCTTCTTAAAACTTACCAGTTGTTGTTGAATTAGACGTTGGTGCATTTGGATCAGGTGTTGGTGGTGCACTTGGGTTGGGTGCTGGTGCATTTGGACTAGGTGTTGGATTAGGTGTTGGTGTTGCATTTGGATCGGGTGTTGGTGTTGCATTTGGATCAGGTGTTGGTGTTGCATTTGGATCAGGTGTTGGTGTTGCATCTGGGTTGGGTGCTGGTGTTTGTGGTGCACTTGGAGCAGGTGGTGATGGATTTGGGTTGGGTGTTGCATCAGGTGTTGGTTCTATGAAATAAATAAATAATAAAACATCATTTTTTGATCCAAGAAATAAAGACGAAAAAACTGAATAAACAAATAATAATTACGAGGTGCTGGTGATGCTATAAAATAAATAAAGAGATATATTTATAAGAATCATTTTTTGATTTAAAAATAAAAACGAAAAAAGTTAACAAATAAAATATATAATTACGATTATCCTTTGGTGGTGGTGGTGCTATAAAATAAATATATAAACATCATTTTTTGATTCAAAAAACAAAAACGTAAAAAGTTAACAAATAAAATATATAATTACGATTATCCTTTGGTGGTGGTGGTGCTATAAAATAAATAAAGAAATATATAAATATCTTTTTTTTTTTTGATTCAAAAAAACAAAAACGAAAAGTTAACAAATAGAATATATAATTACGATTATCCTTTGGTGGTGGTGGTGGTGCTATAAAATAAATAGAGAAATATATAAACATCATTTTTTTTTGATTTTAAAAACAAAAACGAAAAAGTTAACAAATAAAATATGTAATTACGATTATCCTTTGGTGGTGGTGGTGCTATAAAATAAATATATAAACATCAATTTTTTTTTATTTTAAAAACAAAAACGAAAAAAGTTAACAAATAAAAATATATAATTACGATTATCCTTTGGTGGTGGGTTGTCTGGTGGTGGTGCTAAATCAAAAATAAATAATTTATTTAATTAATTAATTAAAAATCAATCTAGATAGTAAGTGTTGAATCTTAAATAAATAAATCAATTAGAATCAATCAAATGCGTAATATAAAATAAAGATAATTATAATTACCCGGAGTTTGTCTTTTTTGTAAATGTCCAATATTAATTGATTGAATTGGACTTGTGAACTCGACAATGAAAATAAAACTTATCAGAACTACTAAAAGTGCTATCAATGTTTTTGTGCTAGTTTTGTTCATTTTGTCCTTTGGTAAAATAATAATAATAATAATAGATAAAAATCGAATAAAGTTCAATGGTATATTATATGCGTTTGTTTTTTTTTGTAAAAATAAATAATTTTTTTCCCTTATATCATTAACAAAATTAAAAAAATTTAATGAAAAAAATTATTTATTAATTATTGCGAATTAAAAATTAATTGTATTTATATTTTCACGAAATCTTGTCCAACTTGTATATACCGAAGGGGGTTGAAAAAATCTTGTTTAGGAAATATTTAATTTTCGAAATATATTTTTAGAAGTAAGGAGGGCTTATGTTATGGTGCGCCAACCATGACAAAAGTCTACATTATTTGACATTTAAAATGAGGGTGGCTTTATTTTAAATATTTTTATCCCTGTTTTAAATGATTTAAAATTTATTTAAAATGTAAAATTTTTTATCTTAAATGTCACAAATATTACTTAAAATGGCGTCACATGAATTGGATCACTTTTTCAAAAAAACATTACAAATTTAGCAATTAACATTTTAAACGAAAAACCTTTCATTTTAAATTGAAATACTAAAAAAATTCATGAATTTTTCCAAATTTATTAATCGATTTCTAATTGAAAAAAAAATATTAATAAAGAAATTATATTTCTTATTTTACAGATATTGCACTTCCCAATAAAAGAATACATCTTTCCATATTAATTGCTTTGTTATATTAATTGAATCATTAAGTTGTTGAATTGTCTTTTAATTTTGTAGCCAGTTAAAAAATATTGCAAACATAATAAAACTAGATTTTAATTTTGCAGTGATTTAAGCTATATTTCATTATACTAAAACAATTTTACACCTTAATTATTTTTTATTGCCTATTAATATTAAAATGAATGAACAACAAAGAAATTTTGAAAATTTTGCTGAAGAAATAATTAGAATAGCTTCCCGTATTCTCCATGAGGGTGAAGATTTAAATTCATTGGAATTACAGTTGGAAAAAATTGAAACTTTGCATTCAATGTATGTCCATTTGGGTTTGCAATATAATGTGGACCATAGATTAATTCAATTATCAAATTTAAAAGAAATGATTGAGTCTAGGATCAATCTTTTACAAAATGAGGCATCACAACCTCTTTTATATAGAGAAGAAAATGGAGGAAGACCAAAACTATTGATTAATGAAAATATTATTAGAATATTGCGACAAGAAGGACATACATGGATACGAATTGCAGATATATTTGGTGTTTCTTATAGAACAATTTTAAGAAGAAGAATTGAATTGAATTTGCCTGATGATTTAGCATACACTAATATATCAAATGATGATTTAGATAACGAAATCAGAAACATACAAAGAGAACAACCATTTTCTGGACAGATAATAATAGCAGGTGTATTACGTTCAAGAGGAATACGTGTTCATCGTCAAAGGCTACGTGAGTCATTAAATCGTGTTGATGCTTGGGGAATGGTACAAAGATGGTCCAATATAATTCCAAGGCGTGTTTATCAAGTTGCTGGCCCAAATGCACTTTGGCATATTGATGGAAATCACAAGCTAATTAGGTGGAAATTTGTTGTGCATGCAGGAATAGATGGTTATTCACGAATGATCACTTTTTGTAACTGCAGTAGTAACAATAAATCCATTACTGTTTTAACACAATTTCAAAAAGGAATAGAACAATTTGGTATTCCAAGTAGAGTAAGGGCAGATCATGGTGGTGAAAATGCTTTAGTAAAGCAATTTATGGAAAGATATAGAGGGTATGGACGTGGTAGTTTTATAGCAGGACGCTCTGTTCATAATCAACGCATTGAAAGGTTATGGGGTGATATAAATCGATGTGTTTTAAAGATATATAAAACTATTTTTCTATATTTAGAAGAAAATTTTGAATTAGATATTGATAATAATGTGTATTTATTTTGTTTGCATTTAACTTATTTGAATCGTATTAATAAAAGCCTTAAATTATTTGTAGATGGGTGGAATAATCATTCAATTCGTACTGAACATTTTCAGACTCCATTACAATTATTTACATCTGGAATGATTGAATGTGGATATAGAGGAATGGAAGATTTTAATGTCAATGAACTGTATGGGATTGACTGGGAAGGGCCTATACCATCAAATTCAGATGATAATGCTGCTGCTGTGGTTGTTGAAGATCCTAGAAATGTTTTAAACCAAAATGAATATCATGAATTATTAAATTCAGTGGGTATAGATAGAGAAGATAATAATTATGGAATAAATGTTTATTTAG